CTTTCCCTCAAACAAAATGGGCATTTTCAGATAATATAAGTTATTTTCGAAATAAATACTAAACAAGCATTGAGAACCTCTTTCAAAAACAAATTTATCAGAGAACGTGGAAACCATTTCGGAAATGTCACCAAACATGCCCCATCGAGAGAGAGAGAGAGATCATAAACCTGGGCAGAGCAGAATGCATGAAATCATAAAGGTGCATATTTCTAAGAAAGACTTCATTACTACACAAGTAACACACAACACACAAGAAGTTATAAATGGAAAATGGATGAGTTTTTAGAGCAAAGATAGCACAAGGCTCAAGGTAGAGAGGAGGAGGATGAAAAATATAGGAAATACTTATAAAGATACACAAACATACAATATATATATATATATATATATATATTGTGATTGTTGGGATTTTTAAATTGGCATTATTTTAGAATGTTTGTAGACACTACAAGAATTTAAATTTTTTGTTATAAAAAATTTAGTTACTAAAAGCCCTATTTTTTTTGTAGTAAAATATTTTTGTTACTAAAAAATTTTGGTAGTAAAAAGTACGTACCAGAAAATATTAGTTACTAAAATTTTGATAGTTGGGTAACAAAATGTATTTGGTATCAAAATGTATGATATTCGGGGACCGAAAATTTCGGTAGCAAAAGGTTTTTGGTAGCAAAAAATGTGAGATTTAGGACACTAAAATTTTGGTAGCAATATATATTTGGTAGCAAAAGGTACGCGATTCAGCCACCAAATATTTAGTAACAAAAGGTATTTAGTAACGAAAGTCATGAGATTTAGGGACCAAATATTTGGTAGCAAATTGTATTTGATTGCAAAATATATGAGATTTGGTGACCAAATATTCGGTAGCAAAAGGTATTTGGTAGAGAAAAATATGAGATTTAGTGACCAAATTTTTAGTAGCAAAATGTATTTGGTAATGAAAAGTACAAGATTCAAGTACCAAAATTTTGGTAGTGAAAGGTATTTGAAATAAGTAGCCACCAAATATTTAGTAGCAAATAACTAATTTGTTGCTACTAAATTTTTTTGGTAACCAAAACTGAGACAAATTTTTTATACTTGTATTTTTAAATATATATATATATATTTAAAATACCAAATATTAATTTAAAAATCTCTAAATTACCAAAGATAAAATACCAAAGATTAAGGTACCAAAATTTAAGCAAACCTAAACACTTATGCAAATATTGTACTAGTAAAGTCTTAGGGCTTGTTCTTTTGGAGTTTAACTTGAGTATAATTCTTGAGTTGAATTTGAGTTATAATTTAAGTTGAAGTTATAACTTGAGTTTGTGTTTGGTTGTGTACATTTGAGTTATGATTTGAGATAAGAATCTTTTTGAGTTTGTGTTTAAGTGAGTCAAAATTTGAATTTGTATTTAGATAGTATTTTAATAAAAACTCAATACTGATGGAAAATTTTAATAGGGTATATGAGTGGGGTTTTATTCGTCTTTTCGTTGTCAACGCATAAAAAAAAATCATCTCAATAAGAATTAAAACGAAAAAGTTATAGCATTTTTAAGAATAGAAAAAACACTGTTCATTAATTTGAATTTGAGTTTCTGAACTCAAGTTGAAGGGAAAACTTGAACTCGAGTTTTAGTCTCAAACTCGAGTTCAAACTTAAAAGAACATAAACTCGAATAAAATTATAATTCGAGTTGTATTTTTTTGAGTTTTTCACTCAAAAGAACAAGCCTTTAGTATCACAAGAATTAAACGATTTAACAAACCGAGGCCAGAGGTGGCAGTGGCGGTGGCGGAGGATCTTCTCTTCTTGGGACGGAAGGTCCAGAATGATCTGACGACGGATTTATTTGTTGAAGTAGCTTTTGAATGAGCTCTTGTTATTGCTTCATTAGAATTTTCATGTCCGACATACGACGTTTGTTTTCCTGAACTTCATTTTGAAGCTTTTCATATCCTGACCATCTAGATTTGCGAGCTTGTGACGCTTGTCTTACTACAAGACCTATGCTACGCTTGAACCATATTTTTCATACCTCTTAAGAGAATGTTATTTTCTTCAATAGGCATATGATTCTTTAATGTTTCAAGAGAATTTCAAAATGGAAATTTTGCGCATCAATTGAGATGTATATAATATGCTTGAGTGTGAGCATGTTATATTTTTATACTATGTGTGTATTTTGGGGTGAATAAATTCGATATCTTTGATGCTTAAGAGTTTTCAGAATTCTGATTTTCACATTATATAATCCGATTAAGTTTCATAAAATTTATTCCTGAACGGTTAATTATTTATATATGGCTCTTATATGACCTGAAGTTCCATAGACTAAGCAACCAAGTATGTATCCATCTTCTATTCGTTTTTTCTTTCAAAATTCACGTGTAGAAAACAAGTGTATTGGGGCATATAATTGAACCATGTTTATACTATGGAAGGAGCTTATTCTTCTTGAGTTGCTAATTGTACAGATCAAAGCAATCGCTGTAATTGCAAATTTATTTGTACCTCCTTGTTGCCAAACGGTCTAGGCAGATTGCTAGAAAAATAAACACCCTAAACTATGAACTTAGCAAGGCAGATTGCTACCCTAATCTAACTCCGCTTCCACGAAAGAAAAGAAAAAAAAACACGAGTGGCTCAGTGAACTTAGTTTATCCACAATCTAAAAGACTCCCAACATTCCCTATCTCCATTATCTGTAATTACAGTCTTCATACATAAATCCCTAATTCAGCACCAGAAATTAGCGAAATCATTGTTTTTGAAATCGAAACCACATTCAACATAACGATGAGAGAGAGAGAGAGAGAGAACTGACCGGAAAGAAGGAGGAGGTGTTGACCGGCGGCGGCGAAAGCGAGAATCAGCGTTGGTGACGGCGAGATTCAGTGGCTAGAGAGAGAATGAGCAACAGAGAGATCTAGAGCTAGAGAGAATCGGTGACGGCTAGAGGAGTGGAAGGCCGCAGAGGAGGAGCGGCGGCTGGAGAAGAAGGCGGAGCAAACACTGAGGAAGATGGCAAAGAAGGGGACGAAGGGCGTGGGTGAAACGTGTGGGTGTGTTTTGAAGGGGAGAAGAGGAGCGGCGGCTGGAGAAGATGGCGGAGTATAGGGATTTTGAGCTCACGCGTGGCGTGGGCGTGTTTTGAATTTTTAGGGAGGGTGCGTTAAAATGTTTTTCCCAAAACATTTTGTTCTTTTTTGTCACCAAATATTTGGCAGCAAACATTTATGTTTTTCTGTTACAAAATATTATTTTTTTTTGTAGCTAAAGCATATTTTAATTTAGTAGCAGAAAAATATATATTAAAAAAATTAAAAATATATATTTTAATGATAAATATTATTTTAAATTCATTGTTCTAATAACATTATAATAAAAATAGGCAAAGTCTTTAATCCGGTGTTCACTGTTTGGCGGACTGAAACGGCAGATGTATAATTCTGTCATTTTTGTGTATATTTATATGTAAGGTGTGTACATTTACATATAAAGATATATATGTTAAGTTATAAGAAATGATAATGTATATTAATCCTCGAAACATGTATTTTTTATAGCAATTAAGTGAATGCATAGCCTATTAATATGTATATTAGCTGATTTACTGTATTTCATGTTATTGAACGTCGGTTGGAATTTATCTTTTTTATGCTTTAATGTAGGAAACAACAATGTATACTTCGTCTTAAAACATGTATTTCTTATTTAAATTAAGTGAATATGTAACATAGTAATATGTATATTAATTGAGTCGTGGTAGTTCATGTTATTGAACTTGTCTTGGAAGTTATTTTTGCTTGAAAAAGTCTTTAGTCATTTGGAGATTGAATATTGTTGTCGTTCTAACAGGTTGGAAAGAATTAGTAGGGAGACACAAATAGGAGATTGAATATAGAAAGAATAATGTGAGGAGACACTTATAATTTGTTTAGGTAATGTGGGGAGACACCTATAATTGTCGATATAATGTTTGTAGAGGTGTGTAACGTGATGTAGAAGCATGGAAAGTGACACGCTGGCCGTTTGTTATTTAGTAAATGCAGTTAGAATTATCACATGTGAGAATACAATATATTAATCTGTGAATGCGCAAAATTGTAAAATGCCATGAGTTAGAAAATAAGTAAACGTGCACATGACTTAAATGGTGGTATCATTTTAGGCCAAACTGCAACTATATGATAAGTTTAGGGGAGTTAATTGCCAAAATCCAAAGTTTAGGAGGCATATTTGTCAATACAAAAATTCCAGGGGTATAGAAACCCATATTTCTAATGAATGGTTTAAAATTTAAATGGGATAAACACACATCACTTGTAGGTGACTTTCACTTTTGTTTCTTACTGATAAAGTTACTAATAAACTCATAATAATTATCAACATCATTTTTCTTTTGCATTTTAGATTAACTTTTGATAATAAGAGTTTGGTCTTGTGGAACAATAGGATTGTGTTCTACAGTCAACGGCTCTATTTGGTGGGGCAATTGCAGCACATCACAGAGATCTCCCACAAGAAAACACATGCATGTGCCGTGGATGAAGCCCTTCAGCTACGACCAGATAAGGCCTTACATAAGCACAGAATTCATCGACGGGCAACAATGGCTCCGACTCTAGTTCTTATCCCACCACCTTCATTTCTTGATTCATGGACATATTCGATCACAAGGCTTTACCGGATCTAAAAGGTATCAGGGCAACTAGTCACTATGATTTTCTTTCCTCTTTTCTTTGTTGTTAGTTTTTCTTTGTTTTGAAGAGAAAAATGAGAAAATAACTCACGAGAGTGATGTATGTTCAAAGGCATAACAAATGTGTGTTTAAACCGTTTGTCTTTGTATGCAATTTTCACTACAGCTCTGTCACAATATGAGCCTAATTTTGAGCATGTTTCCAAGTCATAAACAAGTTAATTTTCTGGTGGTTCCAAAGGAAAATTTTAATCTTATACAACATTATAAACTTCAAACTTTACACAAAGGTACAAGAAGAAAGCACAGTCATTTCATGGAAGCATGAGGACTGAGTGGTTCATTTACGAGGTTCCTAACCAAATTATCTTTCTAATATAGTTAGTTAAAATCAGGTGGTCATAAAATCCTAACACCTGTGACTATACACCTACAGAAGCCACCAATTTGAAATTTT